TGCCCCGTCCTGCACAAGTACGTCCGGCCCCGCGACAAGGTGAGCACCGGTCTGGAACCCAGCGCCCTGTGCCGGGCTCTGCGCCGCCGTGTCCCGGTTTAAACCGCTATTGTGCGCAGACACATAAGACGCGAAGACTCGGGTGTGCTGTAGCAATAGAGCAGGAGAGACCCACGGGTTGCGCTAGTATGGGGAGCTCTGGGGGTTAAGACACCCAGATGATCCCAAAAAGAGATGCAGCATGTGCATCGCTTCTGTGCCCGTGTGGCTTTTCTATATGGATATGTTTTCTCGGGGCCCTAGAGAGTGGGTTTGCAGGTGCTGTGGGCATGGTTTTCACAGAAGCCTCGTGGCTGTGGCTGATACTTGATTGTAAAATGCTTTGGGACGCATTTCCAGGGCATTCTCACCATCATGCTGCTCTTGTGCCACTCCCCAGGTTCTGGTGGTGGGCTGTGGGAACTCGGAGCTGAGCGAGCAGATGTACGACATGGGGATGTGCGAGGACATTGTGAACATCGACATCAGTGATACTGTGATCCGTCAGATGCAAGAGCGGAGTGGGAGCAAGAGGCCAAAGATGAGCTACCTGCTGATGGACATGCTTCAGATGGACTTCCCTGACACCCACTTCCAGGTGGTCCTGGACAAAGGCACGCTGGATGCCATCCTCACCGATGAGGAGGAGGCCACTCTAGCCAAGGTGGACAAGATGTTTGCCGAGATCAGCCGAGTCCTGCAGGTAGGAGGGCGCTACCTATGTATCTCCTTGGCTCAAGCCCATGTGCTGAAGAAAGCAGTGGAATACTTCTCCCAGGAAGGCTGGGTTGTCCGTGTCCATCAGGTGGCCAGCAGCGGGGACAAGCAGCAGTTTGTGCTACCAGTCTTTGTCTATGTCATGACAAAGTTCAGGAAGATCCCTGGCTCGACACAGCAGATCCTGGAGATCTGCCCCGAGGAGCAGGACAAGCCGATGCGGGTGGAGAGCGCAGAGCAGCTGGTGGCGGCAGTGAAGGACAGGCAGCATTACGCCCTGCTCTGCAGCCAGCTGAGCAAAGCTCCTTGTGGGGAGCAGGTTTCCCTGGATCTGTGTGACAAAGAGTGCGGAAGGCCTCGCTACACACTGCATGTTGTCGACAGCCCCTCGGTGAAACCTTCCCGGGACAATCGCTTTGCCATCTTCATCAGTGAGTACAGCTTCTCCTGGCTGCAATGAGATGGTCCTCTGGGGAGGAGCTGCTGAAATCAGGGCTGGAGAGGGAAATAATCTGCCTATGAGGAGTTCAGTTGATGTTTTAGTCCTGGATTTGTGGTGGGACATGTGTTTGCCTGGTTGTGCAAGCAAAGATCTGGCACAGAGCTTGCTGGCTGAGTGGATGCCTCTCTGGCAGCAAAGGGACGCTGCTGGCCCTGCTTCCGAGGTGGTGATTCCTGCTTTGATGCTGGTGGCAGCCACCGTAGCATGTCATTGCATAAAGTGAGAGCACAGCGGATGCAGCCGGAAAGGCATCGCTGGTCTGTGTGGGTGTCCTGACTTGCCAGGGCCAGGCTGCTCGGGGCTGTGCTTTGCTTTTGCACTTGCACCTCATAAAGACACCATCGGGCTCTGCCAGCAGTGCTATTCCCTCCCTGCGTGCCTGCAAAGCTGGGGCTTAGCACAGCCTGGAGATGGCTCGTGAGGTTGTTGGACGCCCCCTTCTTATGAGATACGGCTTTTCCAGCCTCCTCCATGAGCCTGCCCAAAACAAGGAAGGTCCTGGCTCTCTTGATGGCTCTAGGCATGCAGTGGTACCTCCTCGTGATGTCTTGCCATTCCCTGCAGCTCCTCTCTCAGAGGCAGGGGTGGTTGCTTGGGGACTGAGACTGCCCCAGGCTGATGGCAGCCCCTTCTGCAGTTCCGCAGGGCAGAGAAACCGAGTGGCTCTTTGGGACGGAGGAAGGGCGGAGGCAGCTGGCCGCCAGCGCGGGCTTCGGGCGCCTGGTCACCGTGGCCCTGCACAGGGAGCAGCACTACGAGGGCATGGCGGGCATCCAGACGGAGCTGTCAGGGAAGGTGATGGAGCTGGCCCCGCCGGGCCTCCCTGCCCGGCAGCAGGTGAGCCCTGCTGTCCAGCCCCCTTGCTTGGCTTCCACAAAACCCAGGCCAGGCTGGCTCTCTGCCTGCAGCGAGCCCCTCTTCTCTGAGGGAGACCAAGCTGCAATGTGTGAGCTGGCTGCTTTGGCAAGGAGGAGGCTGGCCTCAGGTCTAGCTCCTTTGGTTTTTCCCTCTAGCTAGCTGCCTTCGCTTGGAGGCAGGATTTGAGGTGCCTGGGTGGCGGGATTCAGTGTCAAGTCCTTGCCCTCCCAAACCCAGCATCCCAAGAAAAACAGGCATCCTGAAACCCTGAGAGCATCTGGCCCCTTCTTAATCCTGGCTTTAACTTCTCCTGCCCTTTCTGTCTCCTCTTTCCTGCCCCAAATCCCCAAAACTGAGGTCTTGCAAGAAGTATTGGGGTGTTTGCTCGCTGTACCACAGCACATGTGTACTGGGGGGGGAGGGGCGGAGCCTTGTGTCCCATGCACTGGTCCCCAGCTGCCCTGTGGCTGCCTACAGCACATCCCACTGCTCCTGTGATATGTCTGCCTCATCCCAGCTCTTTAGCTGTGGTCAGGACAGCGGGAATGCTAGGATCTGTTCCTGTAGCCTTTCCTTTCTTGCACTGGTCCCCGTGCTCCCTGCAGGTGCCCTTTCTGTCTGTGGGAGGGGACATCGGGGTGCGGACAGTGCGGCACTGTGACACCAGCCCCCTGAGTGGGGAGTACGTAGTGGAGGACGTGAAGGGGGACGGCACCTGCTACTTCCGACGCCTCATCTTCCTCCGCAACAGGAATGTGGTGCAGTCGGAGGCTCGGCTTCTGTCCCCTGTGACTCTCCCAGGTATGTGGGGTAGCTGGGAAGGGGTAGGGGCAGGGGCAGAGTGTGAGAGTGATATGGGAGGGAGGTAAAAGTCCTGCTGGGACCTGCCTACCTTGTCCTAGGGTGGCCCTGGAAGTGTTTTTGCGCTCTGCTGCCTGCCCCATTGGTGAGATAGGGGCTGGGGGCAGCTAGTCCTCAGAAAGCATCCTTGTCTGCTGCCTTGCCTTACCAGCTGATGCCTCCTGTTGTTCAGGCCAGAAGAAACGGAGGAAGGACAAGAAGAAACCCAGCCCCGCTGAGCCACCCACAACCATTGACAAGAGCTACCTGTGCTGTGAGCACCACAAGGCCATGGTGGCAGGGCTCTGCCTGCTGGGGGGCCCTGACCCCCTCCCAGGTGACGAAGCCGGTGGTGGGAGGCTGTGCCCAAGGCAGGCATGGGGCAGGTGTGTTGCTGTCCCCACGCTCCAGCTCCTTGGAGAAGGGCTTTTCTGGCTGGGGCATCCAATGTGCCCTTCCCAAACTGATTTGGGCAGGGGGGTGGGAAGAGTGGTGTAAGCATGGTCATCCCAGCAGCTCACCCAGGTGCTCTCTGTTGGCAGGAACCCTGCTGGCAGTGCTGGTGGTGGGGCTCGGTGGGGGCTGCCGGCCCCTCTTCATCCATGACTACTTCTCGCAGGCCCAAGTGGCCGTGGTGGAGATTGACCCCTCCATGTTGGAGGTGGCCACGTGCTGGTTCGGTTTCTGTCAGGGCGACCGGATGCAGGTGCACATCTCCGATGGCCTGGACTATGTGACCAAGCTGGCGACTGAAGGTACTGTCTCGCGGAGCATCCCAGGTGCCCCATCGAGCTCAGTGGGTGATGTGCTGGGGTGTGGAGTCTTGAGTTGCTTTTACCCTCTGCTTCCAATCCCTACCCATCTTCTGTCATGTGTCATGAGCTCCAGCCTCGCCAGGTTTCTGCAGCTGACAGGCCTGTCCTTGCTAATGTGTGCAGGTGACGTTAGATTTGCTGCCTCCCCCAGCGCCAAGGGCTGCTGCTGGGGGTTTCATTTGGAAAGAGAAACCCTGGGTGAGAGAGTAGCACCTGTAACATGGCAGAGGGCATGTCTTAACCAGCCCATTTGTTGCTTCCCGGCTGTGCGTGGGGCTCGTCTCTGTCCCACGGGATAATGAGGCTCTGCACTCCCTCCTGCAGCCCCAGCCCAGTACGATGCCATCATGTTTGATGTGGACAGCAAAGACCTCACGGTGGGGATGAGCTGCCCGCCCCCGGCCTTCGTGGAAAAGACCTTTCTGCAGAAAGTTAAAACCATCCTCAAGCCAGAAGGTAGGAGGGGAAATCTGGTGGTGTCCCTGTGGCCGGGCTGGCTGGTCCCGTGGGGTGTTTGAGTCATGGGGCCACTGTTTTTCATGCTGGAAAATCACGGCTGCGGCCAGGATTGCTGCATGGCATCCGCTGCTCCTGGCTGGTCCCAGATCCGGTTGTTTCAGTGGGTGTTGTGAAAG